AACCACAAATAGCCATTTCATTTTGCAAGATTATAAGTTGTTTGCCTTGAAAACGGCCTTTCATTCTCCAGGTAAAACTTTGCAGCTTTTGTCTTAGCTATCGTGTAACAGAAGACACAATCCTTATTTCCCATGTGCATTTAACGGTGTAGAATTTTGACAAGGCTAAATTGCTTTAAACCATTGGTAAATTTGCTCTACGAAATTTTAGTGTGTTGCCAAATTCCAAAGGTTCAAGTGGACATCATAATTCTCTGGCAATAATGCTAGCACTCGAATTTAATCATGCATTAAATGAAAAGCAACTACTAAGTTTACTATCGGTTTGTATTTAATCAAACATGTTGCCACCATTAGAAAATTGTTGCGACTTAGAAAATCCGTTAAGAAGACTATTAACAGTAATTTTAACCTGGCAGTTTTGCTGATTACTGAAATTTGTGGTTTTTTTTATTGCATGTGATTCCTCATCATCGACGTCCCGTTTTTCTACATTATTTACTGCATTGAATCACGCTAAAACATTAATTAGTAAATTATTACTGCAATCAGATGATATTATTTCTAACTAACTGCCTCATTTGTGTCAGTGTGACTCGGAAGAGTTAAAAGACAGCAAATATCATTGATCATAGAAATGCGGTTAAAACTTTTATAATGTGTTTATGGCATAAAAATCAGTTAAATTGACGTTAAACATAACTATATATGAGTCACAGTCAGTACTGCAATGTAAGAGGAATCAAAAACACCAAGATTCTGTGAAAACTTCCAAGTGACTGTTTTGTTTGCATGTTTTTGGGAATGCAATGAAAGGCATCAAATAGTTTGTGATTATAGAGTCCGCCACGCATGCAGCACGCACACTGACCTCCAAGCTCAAACTCACTTTCGTGCCTTTGATGTTAATTTGATTGCTTTTGGCTGCATTTTACTTTCACAGTTGATCGATCAAGCGGATACCGCAAATGATTTTGAATTCATTAGAAATATGAATTCATCCTTCAAGAAAATTTCTAAATTATACTCGCTGAAGGCTTTAGTAAAGCCACGTTGCACTCTGTAGCGGCTAGAGACTTAGCACTACCTTACAACCCTCTAGTTAACAGCCCAAGACAACCCGAGAATGGAGAGAAAAGAGGCGACAGTGGACACGACCGTTTATTAGCGTCACGCCAGCCAAGTGTGTTTTAGTGTGTGGATGAGTGAACGGATGACAGGCATCGGATATAGTAACCAATGAAAAAGGGGGTGAGTCATTGTCACCGTCAGGTCAGTAACCGTGGTTCACTCAGGCGCGATCGCTGTTAATCCGCTACAACTCTTCTTCTTCTTCTTTTGAAATTAAAATTGATTGATGAAGCAAAAGGACTCTGGTGCTCATTGAGCCTATAGTGAATCGTGTTGGTTCATGTCCGATAACCCGATTCTAGCAGCCTCACACACACTTCCCCTTTTACGATGTGTCCGTCAGTCTCGTGAACTCGCCTGTTCGTCACTTATTTGCGTGTTCCACGACTACCCGCTTTGTCTATGTGCCTACTCAAAGTTTTATGTTTTACTACTCCACGTGCACTTGACAATTTTTCACTTAGTCAGTCGCCATGTTCTTGAATATTTTGCATCGTGCATCTTTTGTCAAGTGGAAAGCTTGTGAATTTATTATTTATAAACATATAGCCTTTTTTTGGTAAAAAATGAAATTGAATGAAATCCGTAAACAAACGAAGGCACATAAGGTGAATTTACAACACATTGGCAAATCAACCTTCTGCATGGTTTCCAAGGTTGCTTCGGTGAAAAAGTGTTGCGCCTTGCCTGTAAACAAAACCACACACTCCTTTTAGTATCACGCACACCAGTTCTCTTATCGCACGCTAGTCCCCACACCCTCCCACGCAAATGCAAAGAAAGGGGAGGGCCTCGTACAGAAAGCTTTTAATGCCTCAGAAAAAACAAATGGTCTGTCAGAATGCAAAAGATGACCTTGACCTGATGAATTAAGCTGTTTAACACAGATGGGGCTGTCTGCAGGGTGCTACGGGTGACTCACCCATTGAAATCGCATGGTAGGGGTTGTTGTGTTAACAGTGACTGCACCCTAACTCGCGGTGAGCCGTCATGGGGAACGCTGGATCCCTAATAGAACGTTTGGCTATTGGAACCATTGTTCATACATTAACTTGGCTTTAAATTAACATGTTCATTTATAACCCCGCTATCCGTTGAGTACCTAAATACCCAACAGGAATGAAATCTGCAGAAGGATAGAGTCAACAGTTTATTCAAGAAATTGACCCGATCTTTGTCGTGTCGCGGGTGGATTTGGCGCGTGTATTTAGAGTTCGGATATGTGAGCTACAGAGAGGCTATATATATGCATACACTTAAATTAATTTATCGTGCATTTTGTAACTAAAGCCTTAAAGACATCCAAATAATTGCGAGTAATTGCTACAGGCAAAAAAATCATAAAGCAAAGATAAACAAATGAGTTTGGAATATTTTCTACAGAAGACTTGTAAAAGAACCGAAATTCTAAAACATTACACCAAACATTTTCTTCAGTAGCCATTGGTTTTCTAGTAAACAAGCTTTACAAATTTAACGCAAGGGTTACTTCATCATTTTCGTGTAAATTGCATCAGGCATAAAAAGTTAAATTCCGAAGTGATCTTTCTGTAAGGATCAAATAGCTAAAGAACTTTGGTTCAAATTAATTTAATTGATTATAAATTACAACAAAACGTCATTAAAGCAAATAATCGTATCGTTTTATTTAGAAAAGAATAACGATTAGTTGCGTGATTTATGTACTTTAACTTTATCACTGATGTCAATATAAAAGGCGCGCGCTGAATTTGAGTAAACAGTTTCTTTCAATTTGGCCCCTTTGTGTTCTTCTAATCTTCCTCCTGATTGACGGTGTTATGGTAAGTTAACAAGAAGTGTCTTTAATATTTGTACTCTGCCATGATTTTTAAAACTTGCATTTTTGGTTATTTTGACACATGGGTGGAATTAAATATTTTAAACCTATTTAATCATTCGTGTATGTGTGTTTATATTTAGCATGATTAGTAATTGACATTTGTGGGCGTTATTAATATTTTAAAAAAAGATTGGTAAAAATGCTGAGAAATATGTAATCGATTTGGCGATTTTCCCATGCTCGCCTCTTACAGTACTTGTTGTACATAATCGAGGATTCTATAATTTTTTTTAATGCAGCGTACTTTATATTTTGGTTTTTGGATTGACTACAAATTGCTAATTTGGCTTTTTTGAAGTATTAAATTGTTTTTACTAGCAATAAAAGGCTCAATATTCTCAATTTTGCTTGATTGACATGCTAATTCTTTCGTAATTGAAGTATGGGATATTAATTTTGATTCTGTTTTTATTTAATACACCTATTCTGTCTATTGAATGGCAGTTTACATTTCAGATTAATTCCGTAGTTTAATAGGTCTCACTACATTTTGAATTAATTTTGATCGTCGTGGCTTGCAATTAAATCAGCCAAATGCAGTGATTACTTTTGATTTCATCGCTTTCATGTTTTCTTTTAAATGTTTATGCATGTGCTCAGAACACCGAATGATGTCCATAAAAAGAAAATATGTATGCTAGCGCACTACAATATTTGGATATAGTGCAACTTGGCAAAGGGTATTAAGTCTTTTTTACAATCTCTTTACTCAACCTGCGGTTATTGCCGATCTTTTTCCTTATAAGGTTACAGGTTCTTTGTATCTTTTATTCTTTCCAAATTTCCCTCGTTTTCTCTATGGTTCATGATACTCTAAAGGCAGTCTGGTTTTTTCACCTTAAATTTACATATTTTTTTTCGTGCGACCCTATTTCAGTATCAAGAACCAAGTGATTTTCACAATTAATTTTTCACACATCATTCGTTTATCTAAAGTTTTTAACACTAGGCTTTAGCAATATTTCGCCCTTTTAAAAGATTGGCAAGGAAATTCTTAGCTTGATGACCATATTTTTTAATCTTCACCGACTTTTTTTGCAAATGCATTTTGCTCTGCATCCTCTAAATGTCATTTCAAGTGCACCACGGGTGTGATTAAAAAAACCACCTATGATGCTATAGCCTTTTCATTTACCTTTTATTATGGCATTTATCTATGCTCTTAAAACGATATGTCTGCGTTGGCCCTGTGCCTATAGAATTCGGTAGTCATCGCATTTTTGACACACCTAGGATGCTTCAAGACTAGGTTTTTACTTATACAAACGTCTCTCAATAACCTGTGGTATCTGAAGACGAAAAAGATGTAAACTATTAAAGTAAATTTTCTCTCATGAACAATTTAACAAGTTTACCATGGTTTGAAATTATGGTTGTTGGCGAATATTTAAATAATATTGAAAGTTATAACAGCGATTCTATCAGAATAGGCATTAGCTATTCAAATTCTTAGTAATAGATATACTTTAACATAATACTGAATTAAACTTTGGAGCCCGGTAGCTTTGAATATATGCAGTGCAGATTAGGAGTCGATATACAGCCCATAGACTCAACAAGCAGACCTGCTTAGCCGTAAATGATCCTAGTAACAAATGGTGAATGGATTTTAAACACACGCAGATTAAATTCAATTGCATATTTTAAAACGCGACTAATTGGTCACTTTATCACCTGTAGGATCGTTTGAATGAGTCCGAGCAGCGGATCAGAGCCGCCGAGTTGGCCGCTGCTCGAGCTGTAGCCGAACGTGAGGACGCAGAGGCGGTCATTGAGGAACTGCGCGACCAGCTCTCTGGATGCCTGGAACGGACGCGCAAAGCGGAGGCGGAGGTCTGCCGTCTACGTCGCGAGGTGATCGAATCGCGGGACCAACAGGACGAACTGGTTGAGGCCAACGCTGAACTGGTAGTGCAGGCGGAGCGGATTAGAGTGTGAGTACTTATGTTGTTTCTGTTGCAAGTAAAAGGGTATTTCGGTAAATAATGTTTGCTTACGCTTGTCGCGTATGTTTGAACGTCTACAGTCGTAGTTTTTTCGCGTTTTTGTCGCTCTTTTTATACGGTAACAGAGCCAACATACTTCTAAAATTCACTGTTTGCTCGCAAACTTGATTTGTAAAATTAATGTTTGCCTTCTTATAAAAATGTTAGAAAAATTCACTCCTCTATCCTGTCTGTTTTACTCGTTTTTTGGGTTCGTACATTATTTTTCTGCGTCTAGCATCAGTGATAGATTAAATTACACCCTCTGCCTACTGCTTGGCTTAGTTGGAACGAGAATGGCCGATTCTTGCCATTCATAACGTAGTTTTCCTGTATCCTATTTTGCCTCTTTCTTGAATTAAGTAATCTCCAACCACATTTATTCATTGAGAAGACATGTTTTCATGTCAGTAGATTGTAGAAAGAACTGACACAATTACACTTTCTCTTGGTGCTTTTCTTGATCGGTAGTGTATTCCTCCTAGAGTGAATTTGGTTGTGTGTTAGAGGACTCTAGTGATTCTTCAAAGGTTCTATCGTCGAATTTACCGACGAAGCTGGAATTTATGGAATTGGCCTCAAAATTTTCACTAGTTGTCTCTTCCACGTTTAATGTAAAGGCTGAATTCCTGTATAACGTTGTAGTTTGGAACAACGCTTGAGTGAAACGCAGACTTCGGCCGCATACATTCGCGAACTGGAGAACTCTAAAGAAGACTTGCAACGTCAGCTAGATGATCGCGATGACCGGGTAACTTAAAAGTGCTACCATTATTGGCTTGTTTTTTTAATCAAACTGCCTTTAAACTTTGAAGCCTGATATATTTTCCCTTTAGATAACGTCCCTCTTGCAAAAACTCGGCGAAATCAAAGACCGGCAAGCAGTTGATGTCGAAACTGAGATGCTGCGTTTGCGTCTAAAGCATGCTGAAACTCGAGTACGTCCAATTTACGCCCAGAGGTGCAGCTGAATAAAGTGAAGGAACGGTAATTAATCAGCCTTTCTCCTACTTCTTAGTTGGCTGAAGAGCTGCAGCACCGCGAAGCCCTTGAACGCGACGTTCGAAGTCAGCAGTCAGTTGTTCAGCAGATGCAGATCGACAAGCGTATTGCCGAGAAGCTGAAGAAACAGAACTTTCTGGAGGCTACTACACCAAACGGCCATGCGGATGCCATTTCAAGCAACGGTGGTATGTACCAGGCCAATCACACAGTCATTAAATCTCTCTATTTTACTGAGTTCACTTTGAACAAATTCTCCCTGTGTTTTTGCAAGATTTATCTTTGTCTCTCTGCTTATCTTTTCCCATCGCTGTCTTGTGTCGCACCTCGTGTTTTTTTTATATCTCGGTTTTCACTCAAGTGGCGTCGTTACACACTAAATGCAATTAGAGCTGACATTAGCTGCCCCGAATTTCTTGCACTTGATTGGTTTCATGTGGTGCGCTGTGCAGATATGCATTACGCATTCATGTCGCACAAGACGCCACCAATTGTAGGTGTGCGTGAACATTTCACACTTGCCTATGCCCCCAATGGCTCCTAGTCTGCCGTTGACGTAACACCGACTTCGGCAAAATTGACACGTCTGAATTTAAGCGTGCTGTGTCGCTGGCATAAACATTCTAAGGATATGTTGTAGCTTTTGAGTGTCGACGGCATGGTATTGTGTTTTGTTCTTACCAATGTTTAGACCTACTTCTTATAAGGACATTCTTACATATCCATGTGTCGCTATTTGAAATCAGACTAAGGATACGATTAGCTTACTAATTCTTTAATTACCATGCCTGTGTGTGCTGGCCTCTCTTGACCACTACTGACTTTGGTGTCATCATATGTCTTTGACTCCTGCTTTTTCGTGTCTCACATCTGGCGCCAAATATTTAGCAGCTCACTTTAAAGTCGTTTAAAAGCATGAGTGTAATTTCGCATCCTGTTGCCAACACTGTGACTCGTTAAACGTGTTGGTTTCGGTTTTTTCTAGCAAGTAAAAGCCATAAACATTTACGATGGCGCCTGAAAACTCGGGCGGTTACTGGCCGCCGGACTCCATACCGCCGACCCCTTTGGGTTGCAGTAAATGCGCAACTAGGTTTGTGACCTTACATTGTATCGAGCGCGGATTCGTTCCCTCCTCCTTTCAACCCCGTTAGTGTGACCTTTTCAAATTAATGGTTATTACGCGTGTTAAAATCAAGAAATCGCTGGATGCCGGGTTTAGGTTGTCGTCTTGCAAATTAGGTTTCTTTTTTCAATCGTGGCGTGTATTTTTAAGAATCAAGTTAAAGATTTACGACAGGTGGTCCAGCATCATGCAGACATGTGTTCGTGACACTGGCGTGCACTTCTGCTTCTCCGGATGAATTTTATCAGGATGTAGACGAACTTTGTAGGTGTCATTATCGTCCAATTACATGAAAATATTCCTTAAGGTCTGAAATTGGCCACACAAATTCTCTTTAGTCGTTACTAGACTTGTAGCAAATGCATTTAACACTACTCTGACCTTCGATTATCATCCATTCCTAATTTAATTGCGTTTTGCAATTGCTTTAAGACTTGAATCATAGCCATGGCGTTAAAGAAACGACTATGTCTTCCCAGGTGTTACCTCGGTAGTGAACTGTTATGATTCGAACAGTCAAATGTCAATGTGATGATCAATCGCTGCTACATTAAACCCTATTACCTAATATTAATAGGACTAATTATCCTGGTATGTTTTGTATCGACAACTGGAAGCTCAATTATAAGATAAAGAAATCACTTGGCGTTGTGAGAGATATTGCTTGTAGTTGTCACAATATGGTCTCCATTGCTGCACCTGCGTCTCTGCACGTGCATATTTTAGTAAAAGCATTTGTCAAGCCATTAGTGAATCACCTACGGCATGCATCACGCCTGTGAATCATCCATGAGTCATCTACCTACTACTTTTAGGAAAGTCACCAGTCGCTCGGCTTGTGGACACTGTCCAAATGGGGCTCAAAAGTATGTCATTGACGTGGATGCCTCGCTTTTACTGTTCATGTGTTTCGGGGCGGTTTTGCTAGAAGGAATCACTCGAAGTCGTAAAACAAAACCTCGTAAACCTTCAAGAACTAGTCTACACCTTGAAATTGTATACAATGTGAACTGAGATGTATGAAGTTAATAGCCACATTCTTGGTCACTAAAATCATGGCTGAAATCTGGTATCTGAAGAACTAGAATTGCCAAGTGTGTAAAAGAATTTTTTTTAAATCTGTTTTGGGTGGATGTAGAATATTAACTCTCAGTCACGGTCGAATGCTCCCGCCTATCTAGCATCGGGTAGGCGACACAATAGATCACCCTTTTGTTTGAATTTCCACGAATGACTTATCAGTTTTGCGCATTTGCAAAAAGAACCAGCCTTTGGACTCTTGGATTTTGTGAAACAATGCGATGAACCAGTTTGTACGTCACTTAGCAAATATTCACATTGCATTTATGAGAATTCCGCCACAATTCCTCCCTTTCACTTACTCACTTGCCGTTTAATTTTGTCTCCTTAGTCACATTTGTTGCTACGGAACTAAAAAAAATCATTTTATTCTAAAAGGATTCTATTTAGTGCTTGCCATAATCTCTGTTTGATGTATCCAGATTTTTAATGGCTTTACTGCTAAGGTGATGTAATGTAGGATGAGCCACAAATGTAACGTTTAGATGACAAGATGTGTTAAAATTCTCGGCTTACATTGTTGAGTCATGTGGTGCACATAGAAGCACATAAGTCGGCATAATTTTTCAATGGGTTTTTGCACAAACGTTCTCTATTTTTATGGCATATTGTAGACCCGTTTTATGCTTTTTATCACAAACAGCTTTTCAAGGCCTCCTCAATGATTACTAAAGGTTTCAAAGAGGAAAATTAGTGCTTTCGTGTGGGGGGTTGCTTACAACAGGTCTGACTGTCTCGTCTTGCTGAAAACACATGCGAAACGCAGCTTCATTAATCTGATCGTTTGCACAATCTTAAACAGACATTGGTCTTTAACGCCGTGTACTATCTTCCCGTTAACCTGCTAATCCAAAGTTGTGAATAAAATGCTGTTATATTTTCTTCCAATGTTCGATAAAAGTTTTCTAAAAATCCACGGCGTGTCTTACGTAAACTGCCTGATTGGTAACACGGTCGTACAATACATAGACGACTATTAGTCTTTGCCACTAGAAATAATGAATTTCTTTCCTTCGTAAAAGGTCGTAACCGTAAATATTTAATAAGCAAATCAGTAAGAGATGCTCTTTTAACCTGCCTCGGCTCATAATCATCACCCTAACACGTAAACACCCTAACTTAGTGGTCCTGAGTGTAGGCAATCTAATTTGATTACGTCTGAATCACCCTGTTTAAAGAAAACATCTGTGGAGCTCAGACTTGTGACGAAACTCGGTTGCTTTGCAATCCTCGGACACACCTAAGTTATACTTTGCCTTGAGTGTTATGGGCTTGTTTACTTATTTCTTTTCCCTTTGTTTTGGTTACTATGTTGCTTTTTGTTATTTCTGTGTATGTATATAACCTTGACATTGGAGTACTTGTTCTGAAACGCGCCTACATTTGACACAATTTTGCCATTTCGGGAAAATTAATAATGAACTGCAAGGGAGTACCAAGAAGCAGAACTTGATTTTCTTTAGCCGATCGGCAGATGAATATCTTGACGTCGGTCGAAGTTATGACTTTTTTGGACTTCAAATCTATTTGGTTAATTTTGCTTGCAGATTCTAGTTTCGAAATAAAATACTTCTTTCCGTGGACGCATGGAAACTGCAGAGGTCCGTAAAGAGATACTCGTTGTGTCACAAGTGGTCTGACGACTCTGTGTTAGTCTGATCGAGAATGTGGCTTCGTCACTAACCAAATTGAATCTGTAATTGAATTTGGTGTTATAATAAACGTGTTTATTGTTATCAACCAATGATATTAGATTAAGTAGCGCAATTGGCCCAATGGCTCACAACAGAGCTAGTGCTTTTGCTGATAAGCATCAGAAATTCCGCTAGAGGGAATAACTTATTTGCTAGGTGATTGAACCAAATGTTCTGCCTTTGTCTAAATTAAATCGGTTTAACTTAACATAGCGCATGCGAATTTTAATTGCCAACTAACTTGATGTCAAAATTTTCGTTTAATCAAACATCTTCCCTCTCTGTGCATTCCTCCGCTCTTTCTAACTTTTCCTAACTGTTATCTGGGTTATTACCAAACGCCATTTCCAATTTTTACAAATTTCAGAAGCACGACTTTGGAAGTTGCTTTTTATGATTTTAATATCACCCAAACGTGCGGCATTGATATTAGATTTTTTCGTAATTCAGTGAGCAATAATATGCGAGTTTCCACTGAAGCGATTACCAGATGAAAAAAAGTATAATAACATCAGCCACATGCTACCTAATAAAATGGTCTGCAGGAATTTCAATGCTCAGAATACCAGCCTCTCACACTTGGACGTAGCCTAACAAACTAATTTCAGTTTTCACATTAATTCCTCTCAATCGTCAGAATTGTATATTACAAATTGCTTATTTATGTAAGCGGTTTGGAAATACGATTCTGGAGACATGAATTTGAATGAAGGCTAAACTGCTTCTAATAAAGTCATTTTTTGTGTTTCTAATGAAGAACTAATTTAATAAGAGCTGCTTCAATGTGGTAAAATATTAACTAAGGCGGCGAAGTGAGCTATATACCTAACTCAACCTTTAAACCGAAGCAAACCATCCAAAATTGGTTAAGCGAAAGGCATAATCCTTTACCTGGACAACGCAAGCTAAAATGCCAAATCCTACGCCCCTTGCCTGATTACTTTGGCCTTACGCCCACTGATTTTAATCACTTTCGTCCTTTGACACACTCATAAAAGATCATTTGATATGGTTTCCATCTGACCCACATTAAAACTAATTTTATCAAAGTTAAGGCATCCCTTTTCATTTGGTAGCACTTTCAAGATCAGCCAATCGATGCGTTTCTGCCGTTTTTTCCTCATATTTAATTACTGTCTTATTCCTATTCACAACTTCTGACATAGTTTACTGTTGCGCGCTCGTTTAGTCACCCCGAACGACAGTTCTGCCAAATAAAAGCCTCGCTGACTTAGTTTGCAGTAGACAAGTTGCTCGTCTGGATTTTTTCAGTTTACTGCCTTCGCGTCGTTCGGGTTTAATCGGTAGCCTAGTTAATCACAAAATTTATGGGAAATACATTTAAAGGTCCCCTTGGTAGGACTGGTTGGGGGAAGGGGTGAACGAATCGAAATGTCATAAACGGTTCAACATGGTGACTTTAGCGTGTCGAGTGACTAAGCCCACGTAGAGCTAGACTACGGTTTAATTGTCGTGCGCGCCGTTTAAGAATGCAGCAAACAGTCATGCAGACAAAAGCGCAACGCTAACTTGACTAAACACCGCGTCCGATGACTCGGCAAGACTTGTTAGTCTGCCAGTGCTATGGCGGAAACTCAATTTAACTTCTATTTTCGAAGCAAAGTTTTGCTGAAGGCTTTTGAAAGTGGAAAAATCTTTTCCACCATTAGTGTAATTCGCTTACTATTCGAGGCTTCTGCTTTGCTGAGTCACCGCGACCAAAGTGTACAGATTGGGTCTAACTGATATCGTTTGTGCGCGAGGTGCGATCCACGCGGTCAAATTCCCTCTTCGGCGCCACGTTAATTTTGTGTAGATTACATTTTATCGCGAACTGTTAATTTTGTAATAAGTATTGCACCCAGCCTTGGACTATTCTCTGATCAGAATTATCCTTACCAGGACAATGGTTGATCGCACATGTACATAAAAATCCACCCAACAGCTTAAGAACGTGTCGTTGCCTAGTGACTATGCCATTATTTTCTGTCTCCTGTATCTCAGACGCAATCATGGACCCGTCGTTTGAAGTTGCTACGTCCGCAATTTCAGGATACCTGTCTCCACCACCTTCCAATGGCGAAAACCTTGGCTCCTTTTTCCAAATTGAACTCGAATCTGCTCGAAGTCGCATTCAGTCACTTGAGGTGAGTCGCAGCACGCGTTTAACCATGAAACAAATTAAAACCGCTAGAAAAACGTTTTGAACACGGGTCCGTAGTGTCATTTATTTCATACTGAAAGAGTGTAAATTGCTGCAATTTTGATTTATTTGTGTAAAATCACAGTAGTCTACTCGTGGTTGTTTGAATTCTTCATCGTATGTAACACATTGAAAACGAATAGTTGAGTGTCACTTAAATTGACACTGTTTCGACACCGCTTTGCGCATCAAATTGCTGTCATTGGCAGTTCTGTTCCAGTAGTCGTTTATTTTTCTCGTTTTGTGTCGTAAATGATGTCCATGTTTGCATTTATCTCATCCAAAGTGAGAAGAAGAGAGTGTCTCTGTATACTTGCAAAAGATGCACCCGCACCAGTGCAAAAACTAGCATATTTTGTGCTTTGCTTTTGGGTCTGTTTTTTTCTACAGTCATCGTTCTGGCTGTGGCCATTCGATGCACTGTCGTCGTTACTTCCAATGGATCTTCAAGACGCACGTTTAAATTGCACGATGATGAAACGGTCATGCGGAGAAAGCCGTGTAACGTGCAAGGAGAATCACTTTGATAACCTCGCTAGCTATTAAAATACAGGAAGGCATTCAAAGTTGGAATAAATCAGTGTGATTAGTGCGTGGTCACCATAAAGTGGTGCGCCTGCCAAACCTCTTAACATTTAACTAATAAGTTGTCGATATGCCCCAAAGGTATGGTCTTTTGGACACAACCGGCTCTTGGAGGCATTAATAAGTTGACCAATCTCTTTAATTCCTCGAGAATCTTTGAACATTGTCAAATGGTTTTTGACTTATTATCTAAATGTAATATTTTAGCTTACGCTAGCCAACTACGTATGCCAAAGAACTATAGAATAAGCGCTCTAACGTAACGTCTTTATTGTCTCGAAGTGCGTATTCATCGAGATCTCCATTTCAAAAGAGCAAATAAATTTACGAGCAGTTTATTAGGTGGTCTTAGGAGAATTCGAAGATTCTAATCTCTAAAATGATTGTGGTGGCAGTGGAATTGTTTTATTCTCAGCTAGCAACCACTCGTACGGCAAATCTACACAGAGCATCATGACCGTGCATTCTACCAGGAACTTTGTCGATATTGTGCCAATTAATACATTGGGCTGCGTGCGTTGATGGTAACGCAGTAAAGCTACCCCGTGTCGATGAGTAACAAAGCAAAAGGCTTCACACCATCAATCAATCCACAATGACGTGGCGTTCTTCTTATATTCGGTCATCGCATACCATCTTTTGGAATCCGTTTAGTGCTATTTCATGATCTACTAACAGGTCTTGATTGAAATTGAAAGTCTTGCTATTCAGCTGCTTCATTTACAGTTGCTTGTTTTGACTCCACGCATTCGTCACTTGTAATTGAATTTGTAACATCTATTGCGCGGATATAATCTGGAGGCAGTAGTTTATATAGGTCTGTCGGACAACCAATCAAATCATGCGTTAAACCAGCATTCTCAGTGGTTTCACCTGCATTTGTCTGTTTTGATGCTCCGGAGTGGTCACTTGTAGATAAGTCTGAAACATCTGCTTTGTACACACGTTCGACTGGTCAGAGTGGATTGGTACGGTCAGTGGCTAAAACGGCATATTAGATACTGGACCACGTAACTAAGTGTGTTGGCTAGAGACAGACCTGTTTCTTGTTTCTAACGCGCTAGCCGATTATTGTCCAACCATGGTAGGGCTCAAAATTGTTAAATATTAAATAACAGAGTGTGGATCCAATAAGATTTTAGTGACTCAAGAAATGTTGATATCAGACTAGGCGATGATTTCTTATCCAAAGATTATTACTTCAAATCAAGAAATCATGTGTGAAATTAGGATGCTAAACACAGGTTTTTTGCTATTTTTCTGACATATCTTGATGTAGGCCTTACCTTTGCATCATTTTTTTGTATTTGTCCCGTTTTGGTCTATTTCTCTACACTTTTCGGATAAATGAATTTAAGCAGAAGGTATGCGTTAACTGCCTTGCGTAGTTGTGTGCTTTTGTCTGATTACGTTGAAAAATGGTACAAAAAAGGAAATTTCAAACTCAATATGGTCAGGGTTAGGGTTACAAGTCTTTCCTAAAACTAATTTTAATCCTAACTTGAGTGAGAAATTTTGTGAGTGTATTTGGTAATGGGTGGTTGGGTGATGTTTTCTATTAATCGAAGAATAGTGGCGTTGTCGTTGCGATTGTAATTTCACGATCGAATGTGAATCATATCGTTTAATGCTAGCTTTTATGCAGAACTTCCAATTTATTTAACAATTATCATTTTATTACCAACTAGAAAAAGACCTTTTTGATACGTTTCAGTGGTTATTACAATAATACTTTAACTTTATATCATTAATTTGAGATTGAATCTGCGGCTTGATTATACTACAACAAATAAATGCGAAAGTTTGACAAATAAGCCTTCACGTTTGTTATTAATTTATTTCAACGGCCAGACCAAACTCCGCGAAGCTCTTATGCAAGCCGAGGATGCAGAGGCTGAGGCATCCCGTTTGAAGGAGGTCATTTCTCGCCTTCACGCGGACCAAGACGCCAAAGAAACTGCCGTTGCTTCGGTTTACGAAGCGAAAACAGCTGCTGAGACTGCTCACCGACAACTCACCGACGATCTGGCTACTCTGGAAGCTCGACTTCAATTCGACTTTTCTAGTGCTGGCCTCATCACGCCGGAGGCAGTCAGGTTTGCTGAAAGTTTGGCGAAAATGCTCACAGATAGGGAGGACGACGTCCAGGTTGCCTGGGAGCGTGTAAACAAGCTGACTCTCGAATTGCAGGCCATCTGCAGCATCGAGAAGGTTGATAAGGATGTCCAGACTACTTGGACCTCCTGTCTGGTAATCAATCTACACTTGCATTCTCCCCAATTGTATCACAACTATCCTACAGATGTGTTGACATTCCTTTTTTATCCAGTCAGTAGACATCAGGTGATTATTGGCTCAAATATTGGACACGTAAAAATGCTATTTCATGTTGGCTAAATTCGGTAACTTGTATTCTTGACCAATGATATTTCAAGTCCCCAGCCGCTATTCGATTGGTCCTGATTCTCAAATATTGTGGATTTGCAGCACGAAAATATGTCACATTATGTGTCCAACTGTCAAGTGTAAAGTGGTAGTGAATGTCGCACTATAACCGAACACATTATTAGTTTACTTTACATTTAAACTGTCGTGACTACTTTGCCATTCTAGGATTCTCCATGTGTGTCAATTCAAACGGACCCCGACCTTGAAGCTCACGAGGAACGTCGAGGCCTTTCAAATGAGGTGGTTCGACTCAATGACGAACTAGTGGGATCCGTTGAAGCTCTCACCTCTGCCAGAGAAGAAATTTCCGACTTAGTAATTTTCTATCCATATTGTTTGTTGCATATTTCTGAAGTCTTGTTAACTTGGCTGATAGGCGCTTTGCAGAGCGTGATTTACCCTGTGTGGGGTTGTGGGTGTCACATGAAGCGTTCGTGTCATTTTAATTCTGCTAAACCTGATTTATGCATAGTCTAGAAACGCACCTTGCTCCTAATGGTAAACAGTCACTGCTTCAAAGTATCACACACACCGGCACTTATCATCTTCCACTTGCACAGCATGATCGACTTCGCGAATTGGAATCGGAGTGCACACAGGAACGCGCGCTGTCAGCACGTGCGCAGCACCAATTGGCTCTCAGCCAACAGGAGGCTTGGAAGGTCCAAGCGCAACTCGAGAGACTTCGCACGAAAGTGGCCGCGCACATCGAGATGCTGGCGGCGCACGGCCTCGGTCGGGAGGAGGTGGCGTTACGTCAACACCTCTCGGCGTCCTCCGCCTCAGATCTGACGACTCAGTTGAAATCAATAGCCACGCACCTCATTATCAACCACGATCATCAAGAGGTTTGTTTCCTTTTTTGGCTGTTTTCGCGCCAATGACATGAAAAGCGGTCAAGAGGTTGTAAGCGTAGTCCGAAGGAGCTCTAATTAATTAAAATGATTAAACCGGTAATTAGTTTACATATTTAATTTGATTGTCTTCCTCCCAGGAACTGTTTCGAGAGAACGAACGCCTTAAGGAGGAGGTATATGCTCTCAGAATCCAACTCGATACGAATCGGACGATCCAAAGTAGGCGAGCCGTTAATTTCCTCCTATTTAAGGTTTTCTTGTTATCTTTAACTTAAAAAAATCTATTTATACGTAATTTTTATTTAGAGAGGTTGCGGGATTTGAATGAAACATCGGAATTCCTTGAATCCAAGGTCAACCAGCTGTTGCATAGAGTGAGTTTATTGTGCCTAGTTTTTTTTTCTCCTTCTGTTACCAAGCGTTTATGTGCCAACGTCAGCTGTTCACTCCTGACCCTTTGCCTTGTGTACAAAAATGCCAATTCAGAATACCTTCTGAATGGGAAATTTTGGTGACAGCAACACACTGAAGCATTTTGTCAAATCTACACTGCAAATCATTGTCCTAAATTTATCGATTTAATCAAACAATCTCTCAAACGTAAGGAACAAAATGCTGCAATTGGCCTACTAATTTCAATTTCTTCATTGCCTAGCATTCATGTTTGGGTTTTATCAAATAATTTTGGACAAAGCTCCATGCACTGCTTTTTATTCCATCGGTCAGGATATTTAGAATAACTTTTTTTGCCTGAATAGGTAGTTTTTTATATACATTTTGGTCTTATATTGCACAGCGGTCAAAATCCTGCCTCTTAACGATAAGTCATCCATATTTCCTTTGCAGCAGCTTTGAACGCAGACTTTAAACCAATAAAAATGTTGGGTTTTGGGCAGAACGCAGCGAACTGAACAGTGTTGACTGCATATCTTGTACGGCTTCAAGTTCACTTAATCTTTTCGTCTTGCAGCGTCCACATCGCCATGATAATTACCGCGATCGAAATGGCCACAGACGACTTTCCTCGCCAAATCGTTTTTCTAGTAAGTCATACCTTGCGCCGTGCAGATTGCGGCAGGCAAGTGAATGAATCTTCTGGTGGCGTGGGTTAAAAGGTCACCTCACCGTGTCTGGCACGTCGGCTCTAACAGTTCCTTTTATTTAAGTGCAGCGCGTTGATATGCATTTCCAATTACTGAGTCAGTGATCGTATCAATAGCCTTGAGGTCACCCTACCACCAGTCCCATCAGATTGTCTGTGTTTTTTAATTAGCCTTGAACGTTGAGTGCTGAAGAACATTGTAATTTAGTCTAGGCTCAGTAAACTCACCGTGGCTGATAGCCCAGTTCGTCGTATCAGTTCATTCAAGTTAGTGCAATACACACGATTGAATTGACGTCATTAATTATTTCTAAGCCATCAGTGATTGGTATTTTCGAATGCTCCACTTCCACTTTATTATAGATTAGGTATCGATTTTTAAGGACACAGGTTCCTCAGGTGACGACAAGGTTCATTCATATCGAAATGATTTGTTTTTTTTTCATTTCAAAAAACGCACTTTACTATTCTTACTGAGAGCATATTCAGTATTTTGATAAGTCATTCTGTCATTTCTAGTTGAAGAAGAAGCACAGGATACAGATGCTGATGGCCTGGCTTACACTGATCTTAGTCAATTTGCATCTACGTCGTCGTCGTCGTTGTCAACGTCTCCTCGTAAGCCGGCCGACAGCTCGCGTTGGCAGCCGCGTGAGAGGGCAGCACCCCAGCGACGTCCCTCGGACTTGTCAATGTCGTGCGCCTCAGCACCACTCGCCAGACCATCAAGCGTTGTCGCTTTGCCGCTTCACGCTCTCGGTAAGCTTGGTGGAATGATTTTTCTTCAATCCGTCACCAACTTCATGCTACTATCTTCCTAAAGTAGTTCGGTATTTACAGTCAAGTGTTTGTCTAATGTGTGACTGATACCTGTTAAACTATTATTACTCAACCTTCATCTTGACGTGTGTTCAATTGCTATAGTTAAATTGTGGTTGATGTATTTTGATCAACGCATTTAGTGTAGACTTTTGGTGATTAGAGCAGCAGTTGCTGCGTTTGTGGATGGTCTGGCTTTGCCACGTTGGCGTAAAAAAACGCAAGTGCACAATTAAGTTTCCTAAAATAGCTTCGTCAGGTCGTAATTGCCGGCAACGCAACTGCTGACAAGCTGGCAATGAATTGTGTTAATCGGTTCGCATGCCCTATTAGCGCGCATAGTAGTTCTGTGAAATTTGCCTTTTTTTTCCAAACTGCAACAGCTGCCTCCTCGTCAGATCAGGCCGATTCCCTCGAGGTTTCGACCTCCAGCAGTCTGGATGGTGTGGATTTTCGAGGTTCAGCAGACGCTGCCAACGGCTGCAGTGAAAAATCTGTTATCCGGGAATCTCGCGGTGAGTTGTTTGCTTTGTTGAGGACTTTTACTACACGATGTAACCCAGGACGAAAATAAGTCTAGAGATTACAGGCACGAACGTTTACTAGATAACGCAACAAAGCTGTATGTGTACTTACACAGCTAAGTGGACAGGTAAAAATAAACACAGGCGTCTGTGAGGTCACATGACCAGAGCGGGTGGTGGTGGTACATGCAGAGGGGTTAACGAACCAGCGGCCTCACGTTACTGACGAGCACGACGTGAAACGGGGGGACGTAAGTTGGAGTCTGCGACGACTTTATTATTAAACGTGAATCAATATGGTTCACAACGGATTGAGTAAATCCCTCGAACATAGCAGAAAAGAGCAAAATGTCCCTTCGGATATCCACAACACCGACCAGTTGTCCCATTTGTGGTCAAATCTATTATCGATCAAGGTCACAAAAACTAAGCCTAGAGACTGTGGCGAGGCTAAGTTAAGCCATTTTAAAATAGAGATCTGTCGAAATGGTTACTGTTTAATAGTTAAAGATGGGACCTTTTTATATTGGCAACTTTGCTATCTGTTACGTACAAATTAAATTTACTGAAGTTTATAGTTTATGCGTGTTTTGAATGTCAGCGTAAATTCATTTCGTGATAATTATGTATTTCTATTCCACTGGTCCATTGTTCCGGCGTTAATAAAAGCATTTTTTTGATTTTATTCGAACAATATAAGGTGATTTTCTGTCAAGAAATTTCAAACAAATGTGGCTTTCTTGCCAATTTACGCGAACCTATATTACATAAAAGTGTTTGTGATATTACAAATTCAATGAAACACATTTTTACCGTGGAACCCTCAAGCCAAGTTCTCCAGCATTTAAAGAAGTTGGTTGTGTATAAATAACCCAACCTATTGGCTTGTTTACTAGTCTCAATTACCAAAAGCCTGCTGAATGCCATAATTTTTCAAAATTGGCTTTTGCACCGCTGGAAGATGCCTTCGGTGCGTCCTCATTTTACGCTTAGATGCACTCCATTTAAACAAAGTCACCTTCAATAAGTTGATGCATGATGGGAACCCCATATGCTAATGCTCTCAGAGCTGCTAAAGCCACTTCTTTGTTTTCCTACAGAAGACATTTCTGCCCGTCTGACAGAGCTTCGACGACGCAACGACCTGCAACCGTTCCATCTGCGTACCAACTACCCTGTTGAAACCCAGGTTAGTTATCGCTTGAGGATCTGTTTCTTATGGTATAAGAACCGGTTAACGTGAAAGCATTTGCTGTGTCATTCTACGTGCCTCCGGGATTTACCGTATTGTGGTTAGAATATAACCCATCATCATTTTACGGTATAGTAACAGTTGCGCAGAACGAACGCTCTTTGGTGTGATAGCCGCTGTCGTGTTATTCCTACCCAATCACGTCTAGACCTGGATTTGTTATAGCAACACTCAAACATGACCATATGTTGACTGTTTTTGCTTGCTTGTTTTCACTAAAACACCTTCTCCTTATTACAAGGAGTTATATGAATGTAATGCACGCTTTATCTGATTTCAATTAGAAACCAGTTAAATTTCTGTAGCTACATTGACGTTTTTTACACAGACGTCTATGATGTGTCTATCGAAATTTCAAAATTCATTCAATAACTTGAGTTGTCAACAACGTAGAGAATGCGTCTGCACCAGAAAGTCCCTCGAACGATTTCAATTTAATGTATGGTCATGCTGATTGTAGCTTTGTTGTAGTTTTGTAGTCCTCATGAGCTGTTATCGGTGTTGACATCGGTGCACAAAAGTCGTACTGACCAATCCCAACTCCCCTCCACGGCATCTAATGCTACACTCACGACAACAACATCAACCTCGGCTAGTCGATCTCCGATTCCAGCAGGTCGATTGACGCGTCCACGGGGTCTCCAATCGGTATCCGAAGTATTACTCACTGGTGCGTCAGGAATTGTGGCCGCCGAAGATCTGGATTTGTCCTTGACAAAGGCACGTCTCAGCGAATCTGCATTGCGCAGCAGCTACAGCACCAAAGTGAGTGCAATCAACCACGCTTTCACTGCAGCTGGAGTTTATCTAGTCGATTATGGATGAAAATTTTCAGACTTGCCACTGGATATATATTTTGTGGAGCACACTACTTGTCATTACGAAATACCGTGAACCGTTTCCGATTCCCACATTTGTCATTTATCCTACAGGCATCGAAGTCAGCGTCCAGTGGCAGTTGCCACGTTTCTTCTCAACACAGGTCCTCCAGAATTCAGAATTCCTCTGGCTCTGACAAAGTCGCCTCTCAATCTTGTGCCACTCCCACATCGACTGTAGGAAGAAAGGTAGGCGGTGGGCTTTAGTGACGAAAAATAAAATATTCTGCTTATATTATTTAAGTACACATATGTTTTTAAAGGCTCCTGTCGCATTTGAAGTGGAATTGAGCCCACCGCGCGTGCGAAGGGCAGCGCCAAAATTCGTCGAGAAAAGAGGCGTGAATTCATCTGTTGTTTCCCAAAGAATCCATCCAAAGACTACTGCGGCAAACCGTCCCGGGGCTAGCGTCTTCTAGGATATCCACATTCAACGTCCTTTCTAAGGGACTGGTGAACTGTGCGTCACACCGCAATGGAAGATTGGTAAGCGTTGATTACTTGGGAAGCTCGCAGTCATCTGGGTTATAGCTGACCCCAATTGCACACTTGCTAACATTTCTGTAACTCGGCTTTTAATTGTAGGCTTCACTTGGAGTATTGGATGATTCTACCAATCCAAGGACAGTAAAACCCGACGACATATTCGGCCAATCGGAACGCGAAACCATCTGCGACCTTGTGCTTTCGTTTGACTTACACTGTGATCGACACTGAATTGCCTGGTGCAAATTCTTTTCGTATAATTTTTGCCTCAACTTCCTTTGATGGGGCCTTTTGCATCACACTTGTCTTGGAATCGAAACCATAATTTTCGCATTCTTCATCGACCCGCAGCCGCTTTTTTGCTGTCTCAATTATGCTTTGTAGATGTATAGCTTCTAGCAATGGTAGGTCGTACTGTAGGTAGTGATGATATGATTACTGCAAGTCTTATCGTGGCAGCGTTCAAACCAATTGGATGAGGCCATGTGTGCGTTCATTTCCAAACATCAAGCACCTGGACGACCTTGACAAGCAGACAAATCGACAACACAGTGGAATTTGTGTGAGCAGAGGGAGCAAGAAAAAGGTGGGCATAGAGGACGGTACATCGCGGATTGGCACTAATGTAGTGCGATAAAATGATTGGTAGAATTAACTTTAATTTTACATGTCTTTTACGAATGTGCTGAAGCACTCCTCAATTAAGCCTAACTAAATTCGCAACACCTCGTAGTCAAGTTAGTTCTTAGCGTTAGTGGGTGTTATGCTCAGATGGAGTTTGAGCTGTTTTTTTTAAAAAAAATAGAACAGCTACTGAAATTTGGCATTACATGTGGTAAACTATGGGCAAGGTTAAATTCAAGAGCGCATCTGTAGTTGTTTATCTAATTCAGTTGGTTTCGGCAGTAATCAATCTGTGGATGCGCTTTATGCCTTTAAATTTCCACGAATCGCTCTTACTGAAATGTGCTTAATCATACAAAAAATTGAAGCCGAAATGGACAATGTAACAGAATGAAATTGCTGAGGGCTCTGGCAAGTTGGTCTAATCGACACCGGGGCTACAGCGTTGAAAGTAGGTCGAGTACGGTACTCTGGTATCTGCGATGATGAAGATGATGACGGAGAGACGAGCTGAAATATGTTGTGTTGTTTGCGTGCATCGGAGGTAACTCATAACTACCATAGTGAGTGAACTATTAAACTACAGATGTCTGAATGGGAACATGGTTGAAGCGAGTGGTGGTGGTATATGCAGAGATGTGAATGAACAGGCCGTCTCGCATGACTGACGAAAGATGTGTGTGTGAGGCTGGAAAGACCTCTTTATTAAACACAAACCAGCACTGTCCATTACAAAATGGTTAATTTCAGACTTAATCGAAGTTTCTCGACTGCCTTAAATCAATGAAATGGATTTTAATTTCTGCAATCACGAATACTCGTAATCAAGAACCTCACAATTTGCGATTCAGCACTTCTTAAGTGCATCCAATTTTAGTTCTTCAGACAGGGACATTTAAATCTAGACTAAAAAAGGCACTGCATATAAAAACCCTTACAAACCCTTTTTTGTGGCATGCGAAAGTAATTCACATGATGTGAGACAGGTTAATGGATTTGAAGTCGCAACTATCCATCTTACGTCACGAACACGTTTCTGTCCATGATGGTGGTTTAAGCTATATTCAATGATATCTGAGTTTAAAATCAATAATCATGCAGTTAATACTAAACCCTTGTACAAACACAGTGAATAACAGAATTAATAAAATACCCGAGACAACTACTGGTCAATGAAAGCTTGATAAGCCTACTTTAGTGGTCAAATTAGGTCAAAGTTAAAGCGGTTTACTAAGCATTTTCGTGATATCGGTGCCACACTGTATCCAGAAGACGCCTTCGACTTGACCCTCGCCAAATCGTACAATGTCATTCACTGTCTTCATTCTACTTTGGAACAATTTAAGTAGCACTATCATGCTTCTACAGAAGTGAAATGTCACTCATTTAACGCGAGGTCAGCAGCATAGTGGGAAAATGCCAGAATTTTCCCCATTGTTTTTTTCACTTTCATTGCAGAGTAAAGAGCATATCACAAACACGTTTAGGAAAGGTAAATAGTAATCAAATTTCCCAAATTTCTGCTTTGAACTAGGCAACCTGATTAAAAGGTTGGTGGAATGAGCTTCGAGCTGCCGCTGAGGTGTTGCATTGAGATTTACCAATGAATTTACAAACAGGAGGTAAACCATTACTTTTAGCCACATTAGAAGTAAAGAAGTTTAATTGCCATGTAAGATCAATGTAATAACCTAATTCTTATTGTTTGAAAAGTTGCATGCTTTAGTAAAAACCAAACAGCCATTTCACGCAAGGTTTTGCTGTTTGCTCTTAACCCTGTTGTTAAGTGCAATCGTGCAAGTGATCACACGATTGCTCATTGACCCGCTGTATATAAGCAGAGGTGCACATGTGCCTTAGGGTACGCACATCTCTTTCGTTGCATCAACTACAACCCCATTGATTTTATGACTGTTTCGGCTGGTTAAAAGATCTTGTGCGATTATCTCGTAGTTTTGACAAATTCGTTAATACACAGAAGAGTGGATGAGGACGTTAATTTATCTGGTGGCACTGATTTGGAGTGCTACAGCGGAGGTTCCAACGCCGGAGCAGCGCAAGGAGATTTTGGAATTGCACACGAACCTTCGTGAATCCGTACAGCCTCATGCAAGCAACATGATGCTTATGGTAAGTTTTGTATTCAGCAGTAGCTAAGAAACAATGGACTGAAATGAACTTCGTCTGCCAAATTGGCTAACTGTGTGCTTTGTTTGGGCATTATTTTGCTTCAAAAATTAGACCTACTCTACGGAATTGGAAGCTATAACTTACAACTGGATTGCCAACTGTTCGTTCATAACGCCGCATCCTGACACCCTTCCCGGCGATGTTGTTGATATTGGTGAAGATGTTGAAGACGGCATGCTCACAATTGTTGAAATGGTCAAACGATTCGCCTCTGAAAAGAGGTTCTATAATTATGACCGAAATCGATGCACAGAATACTGCTACAATTACAAGCATGTAAGTGAATCTGTCTAATTTTTTTAATGTGCCGTATATTTTATTGACAGTGTTGGCAATATCCAGCATTATATAGAGGTCAAGAACTTGTGCTATCACAATAAACCTCTTTTAAAATATTTGTTTTACTGAAAGAGGTTTGTGAACAGGTTGCGCATTTAAAAGTTCTTCTCAATTTCTCATGGCATAACAGGCTATTTTAAATATGTTCTGAGTACAACGAAGGCTGCAGCCTAAATAACGCGCCTACTATAAACAATAACTCCCAACAGAACCTTGCAACCCACGCTCGAATTTACATGCCAAATACACAAGGAATAAAAGATAGATCACAACGATCGATTGTAAACATGTTTGATGGACATGGGGGCACCAGCCTAAAAGGGTTTTAGACATTGGCTGGCAAATTGCAGCGTCACTCAATAAAAATCTACATTAAACGATGTTGCGTAGTAAATGTTGCAAATAATGTCAAGCTCTAAGGTTAATATTTTTCTTCTTGAAGATGGTTTTGGCGACGTCGACTGAAGTCGGGTGCGCAAAACAGATGTGCAATGCCGGGAGTTTTGATGTGAAACCAGCGTACATTACTACTTGTATCTACAGGCCAGCGTAAGTTCAGTAATTAGCCGATTTTCTAAATGACATTTTTAACGTTTGTTGAGTGACGTACATAGACTTATTAGTGAGCGAATGTGTGATGTTTTGTCAAATATAAACATGGCGAATTGCTGAATTTTAGTCCAAAAGAACTGCACGAAAGGCCTTATAAGAGTGGAGTGAGTTGCAGCGAATGCCCTGGTGCATCCACTTGCCACCGCAAACAATGTCTCAAAAAACCGCTGCCTGTAACACGCGCACCTTCACAACATCCTCATAATCGGACTGCGTTTGGATTCCCAAAGCAGTTAACACCTGGAAAGGCAACAAGACGGCCCTCGTCTTCAACGACCCATTCAGCGCCGAACCAACTGACACCAGGTAAAACAACGAAAACGACTCCCTTATCCACAAGGCTTTCAATGGTTGGAGTTCCTAAACATTTGACCTCTCGTGGAACAACGAAACCAACCTCATCTAACAGAATGCTTTCAGCCTTTAAGAATATGATCATATCTGTCATTCTTCTCCACGTCATTGCATAAACTCTGTTATTGACTTGCTTTTTGCAAAAATGTTGCTTCCATTAAGGACTTATTACCCTTATTTGAACCTGACATGCAACTGCTCATTCCTCTCTTTAGTTAACTTGCATTTCAATATTTTTCTTAGCCTAATTGCGTGACAGTGAATGCGAAACAAAACGCTCCACTTAAGTTGAATTAGCGCTTTCTGGATTTGCAAAATCCATGTATTTTTGACAAGTAATCAGCTTGGAGAATACGCTCCAATCATTAAAGGGTTCTGAACATGAAAAGATATTAATCGCATTTTGCATAGCATAACTTTTCGGCGAGAATAATTGCGATTAAAAATTTAGGCTGAACTGCCTATTGACATTAGGCACTGGCGAACGGTTCTATTATTTCATATTCTTCATTTTATGGCACAATGTTTTGTGATTTCGTAATCTCGTTATTCATTAAAAAAGGAATCTCTAAAAGCCGGATCATTGAAATGGCATTTACAACTGAGTTGCCATCAAAACACGGGGTTTAAAATTACTGACTCATCATGCCTAGCTTCACGAAATATAGGTCCATGGAGCATTGATCTATCGGGGTTCTGAATTACCAATTGCTTGCATTGAACGTCACGTATTGACCTTTTCATCTCTTAGTTTTAACTGAAACCTTTTTCATAACCAGCTTCTCTGTTACAAGGTCAAAGACGGGTTCTTGCA